AGTGTGGTAACTGTGGTGGAAGTGTATAATTTTGGGTTGGTAGTGGTGGTCTACGGCGATGAAGCGGTAGTGCTCTGGATGCCTGGGTACAATAGATAATGAAGTGGTAGCGTGATGGTGATTAAAGGCGATGGCAGCAAGAGAGTGGTTGTGAGAGAAGAATCGGGTGAAACTGTGGGGTATTTGATGTTAATGGATTGGTTATAATCGGGCTTGGTCGGATATTTGGGACTGGGCCAGATGGGAAGGGGTTTGGATCCTGTTATAGAGATGGGCCAGCTGGGGTTAATGTTTGAAGAGTGGGCCTAGGTCGTAAAAAGTAGGCTGGGTTAGTTAGGCTAAATGGGCTTGAATGCTAGGGTTTGAGATTTGTGGAACAACACTATTAAGGGAATATAATCCCACATCGGTAAAATATCGAAATAATGACCAATATATAAAGGATTGGGACACTCCTCTTAATAAGGTTGACCTTATTAAGATGGACCCCAAGTCTTAACATGGTATCAGAGCCCATTAAGCTCCAACGAGCGATTCGATCTGATTAAGTCTCTAAAAATGAGCACACGGATTTCAAGATTGGTCTGCTCAAACGAGCCACCATCTTGCGGGGGCATATTGAGGGAATATAATCCCACATCGGTAAATACCGAAATAATGACCAATATATAAAGGATTGTGACACTCCTCTTAACAAGGTTGACCTTATTAAGATGGACCCCAAGTCTTAACAAACACCACAATTTTTTTTTTTTTTTATTTATGAGCAGCAGGAAAAAAACGAGAAATTTTTTTTTTGGGCGGAATAGTACCCGTGAACAGTAATTTTTTTTTTTTTTAATAAGAAACTGACCAAAATACTAAATTGAAATTCTATGTGAACAGTACCCGCGATGAACAGTACTTTTTTTTTTTCAACTAAGACTGAAAATTAAAGAAGAAGAAAAAAACTGCTGCCTTTACCAAAAATTCTTTTAGTTCGTGCTGTTTCAACATATTTTGGGAAGGAAATATGAATGAATTTTGGATTAAAGAAAAGAAATTACCAATGGTTCGGCACTGATACCAAATTTGATGCAGCACCAATAGGATGATTAATGGAAACGGCAGAAAAATTCAGAAAGAATAGGGAATTTAAGGAGGGGATAGAAGAAGAATTCAATAGAAGAAGGGGAGAGATGCATCATAAGTCATCAAAATAATTATTCATTCATCATCAACTGAAAATTACAATGCAAAATAGGTTTAAATAGTAAAGCAACCCTAACGAGTTTGGGTCCGAGCCCATACAAGTCCAAATTTAAATAATAGTTCAAGAAAATAAATAAAGCTTAAATAAAATAAGTAAACGTCGTCCGATGTCCTCATCACCCCTTTTGTCCACTGTAGTATCGGCTAAGCACATGTTTTTCCCACTCTTCTGGTGGCATATTAACACATGCAAACTCAATTTGGTTTTTGCAGCATTTATTAAATTTTTTGAGCAACTCGAGTGCCCGTAAGAATTATAGATCTTTGGACCGGGGAATGGGAGATCGTTCAAGTTATCAGTCTATTAAACCATTTACTGTAAAAACTGAGGAATATGCTCCAGATACTGCATCTCACGTTGGGGATTTTGATGTGATGGAAAAATTTAAAGGGAAGAGACCAAAAGAGGAATACAATGATGTACGAAGCAACTTGAAGAAATCAAAAGAAGAGTTTGATGCAGTCTCAAGCACTTCTGTTGGCCCGACCTGGCTAGGACCAAGAAATGGAAAGTCTATGTTGACCAGCCGGTGGATGCCAGACTCTCAGAGACATGTTGGTCATAGTGCTGGATTGCTGGACAAACATGGAATGCCCCAAAGGTCTATGCCCAACTCATGCAGGGTTCTTGATAATGTGGTGGCTAAGCCTCCTTATTTCTTCTATGGAAGTATCACAAATTTATCTCAGGACTCTTGGGTAAAAGTATCACAGTTTCTGTACTCAGTTCAGCCTGAATTTATCAATGCTCAGTTCTTCTCGGCCTTGGTTAGGAAGGAAGGCTATGTTCATAATCTCCCTATTGAAGATAGGTTTCACATTCTTCCAAAGCCACCAATGACTATTCAAGAAGCCTTACCGCATACTGGAAAATGGTGGCCATCGTGGGATGCAAGGAAGCAATTGAGCTGCATCAGTTCTGAAACTAAAGAAAACTCTCAACTGTGTGATAGGCTTGGAAGAATGGTTATCAATTCAAAAGGAATTCTAACAGTTGAACAGCAGAAGGACCTCCTCCATCAGTGCCAGACCTTGAATCTTGTCTGGGTTGGCCGACACAAATTGGCGCCACTTGAGCCTGAACATTTAGAGCGTATTATGGGATATCCGGTGCGTCACACGCAGGTTGCTGGGTTTAGCATGGCCGAAAGACTTGAATCACTTAAACAATCTTTTCAGACTGACACATTAGCATACCACCTATCTGTTCTTAGATCCTTGTTCCCTGAAGGATTGACACTGTTGTCAATTTATTGTGGAATTGGTGGAGTGGAAATTGCTTTAAACCGTATTGGCATTCGTTTGAAGGGTGTTGTTTCTGTAGAACCCTGTGAAGCAAAGAGGAGGATTGTCAAACAATGGTGGGAAAGTTCTGGACAGAGTGGGGAGTTGGTGCAGATTGAAAGCATCCAGAGCCTATCAAGTAACAAGCTTGAATCTTTGATCAAAAAGTTCAGTGGATTCGATTTTGTTATCTGTCAGAATCCATACACAGTGGCAAATAGTGATAACTTGGCAGGTTTAGATTTTTCAATGTTCGTTGAGTTTGTACGTGTCTTGCAGCGTGTTAGGACTACAATAGAGAGGCGTGGGTGACTTTCACCCTCTTCAACATGCTTCTCCTAGTAGCTCTTTAGTTTGTTTTTATAGCGGAATTTGATAATGACTTCTATTATTCTCCAATTCAAGATTGTGAACATAAATTACTAAACCATATTAATTGCTTTATGTTCTCTACCTTAGAATAATTTATCCATGTTCTTATTCAAGCTGATAGTTTTATATTTCTGTTAAAAATTAAATCCTTTCAACATTTCTCATATCTGTTTCTGTTAAATTTTTACTTTAATACGACGTCTTTGGTTGGAATAAGTTTCATGTGATATAAATAACATGGAGTCGGTCATCTTAACAAGCCCGGATCTCTGTGTATTATTCCATGCCTATGCTTGTGTTAACATTCTATTATGGAAAATTGAACATACGTGAAAATGGAACTGAAATGAGATTGATCTGAACATATTTAATGTTTCTTTGTTGATCTTATGTCTGCATCTTGTCTATGTTAACAGCCTAGCATGATGTTGTAGCCTATTTAGGCTATGTTTGAGCCTCAGTTTTTGAGGAAAATAGATTTTTTTATAGTGATTAAAAAGTAGAGAAAAATTTCGGGTTTACATGCAAAATTATTTTATTGGTAGAATGTGATTGAAAATGAATTTGAGGAAATGTGAACTTTTTGAGAATGTGGCTCAAACAGGAGCTTTGTTATGCCATCGTTTATGAAACACAAGTGCCAAATGAAGTAATTGAGTAAGTACATACGTACTTCCAATTTCGTTTAACTCAAAGTAGATTTGTCGAAATCCATGTAGTGCGGTAGTTTTCCATTGCTGTCCAACTAAAATAGTGATTTAATCGTACAACTTGTGACAATTATTGTGATGTGTTGTACATAGACCATGGCACAGACATGTCTTGCTCTTGTGCCGTAGTATAAGATGTAATGTAATGTGCCTTAGATGGGGGTCATTACCAAATTTCGGGTGCAAAGCAATGTGGTTTTAGTTGTGGGCAAAATGATGGAGCATGCTTGGCATTGGTTGCGAGCATGTACCGTGGGTATTTTGTTGAGGTTGAATTCAGGAATCAAAGCACAAAAGGATTCCAACTTATTGTCAAGCTAACTTCAAAAATCGACAGTCCAAAAGTTAAGTACTTTTCATTTTGGACACGTAATAGTAGTTATTTCTAGGCTTCAGCAGTTACACACTTAGGCAATTGAAAAGAATTGATTTGGTGTTCACTGATCAATTTCTGTTTTCTAGGCGATTTTAGACTTGCATTTGCATCTCTCTTATATTGCAATTATGAATAATTTATAGAGGGTATTTGGTAGGGATAAAAATTAAATTTTTTAGTAGATTGTAATAGAAATTTTTAAAATATGTGATTAAAAAGTTGTGGGATCCATGAAAGATGTGGTTAATATTAATTGTTTGACATTCACTTAGGGTCCGATTGATTGCAAAGATGGAATGTAATTGAATTGAATTGAAAACAAATTGAATTGTTTAGAAATTATTTTTCAGGGAATTGAATTGCCTTGAAATTATTTTCCTGAGAATTGTAAATTATTGTATTTGATTGGTATAATTTTCCACGTGAAAAATGTTGAAATAAAAGTATTTTTTGGTATTCGTTAGTTTTTTTTACATGAAAATTGTCAATTAAAGAGATAGATTTTACTGGTATTGAAAATGAAATTTGTTTCCATTGCCAACAAAAAAAATTCAAGAAAATCATCTATCTTTTGGTGTTCGTATGACTTTGTTTTACATAAAAATTATCAATTAAAGGAAAATATTTTTTTACAATAATTCTTAAAATTTGTTTCCATTGCAAAATAAATAAATAAAAAGTGAACAATAACAGGGCACAAAAGCAAGAAAATTGCGCTTCCCAATAAAATCAAAAATCAAATTCCATGGAAAATTAAACCCTATCAAACAACTAAAAGTTAAAAAATACAAGGTAAATTTCATTTTCCATGAAAAAAATTAACAATCAAACATATCCTTAAATCAAAATCAAATTTTAATCTTACCTACCAAACATGCTACCTACTAAAGTATCTTTCATTTACATTGCTATGCTATGAATTTGAGTGGACAGACTGACGTAAGACCTCTGGTCATCGAAGTTCTGAAAGATTGGCAAACGGATAAAGGAACCACGTCATATTTTATTTTGCCACGTGTCTGGAGTTAACATCCACTTGACATTTCGATTACTGCCCCGATGTAGAACTCCGAACAATTTCTGTGCATTGAATCTTTCTCACTGTAATCTTTAATCTTTTTTTAATTCAACTCCTTTGAATCTTCCGAAAATTCAATGGCGTTTTACGTATCAAAATCGAGAAGAATTTTTAGTGGTTTGAATCCAAAAATGGGTTTTCTGGGCACAATCAACCCCGGTTCTTGGAGTTCTTATTTTACTCATAATCACGCATCTTTGTCTAAATATCTCAGATACCCAACAACGAAGTCATGTAAACAGCCGACCCTTTTCACTCCACACCGTTTCAAATCTGTTAGACCTGATAATCAATTGGATTCTATGCACAGTGATAATGATGCACAGGTATTCTTCTAGTTATAGTTTTGCATTTCTGATGCCTATTGATTGTAATCTTTTGTAAACATATGATAAACTATGGAAAATAAGGACGACTGGCGTTTAGATAAATGTTGAGTGGAAGAAGAAAATGGACTTCCATATTTTGCTGTCACTTGAGAATGATTTTCTTGTGCAGTTTAGTTTAGCAGTAGTGAGGATTGAGGAAGCAATAATCATCTTACATAATATGAGCCAATAATCTGATTCTGTTCTTGAATTTTTGGCTCCTAAATTAGGGCCCTACATGGAATTGGATCATCCAGTTTTAGTAGTAGATATGCACACAGATTTTTCACTCGAAGCTGACTACTACCAAATATGTTTTTATCCACATTACTCCAACATATTAAGAAAAATTGAATCTTTGCGGTTGCTTTTGATCTTATTTCAATTAAAAGTGGATTAAAACAAAGACTTTTGGTGAGCTTCATTTCCCATTATCCGAAGTTCTAAAAGACAGGATGATTATGTGCATGTTTGTGTGTTAACGGGTTACTGATTGTAGGTACTTGTCACGTTATATGGTAATAACCAATTATATTGCTAATGATTCCAGCTTGTCGCCCTGCTCTGCATGAGAATATTGGGTGAAATTCTAATGGCGCAAACAGATAGCAAACCATCAAATTATTGTTTTTTAATCATGAGATATTCTTCATCAGTGAATTGTTGAGACAGTTAAGTTAGCCCATAAATGTAAATCGTCCATCAGTCTGGTGAGAAATTAGTATCAAAAGTGAACCGCTTCTTGGGGTTATAATTCTAGTTTATTTTTTCTCTAACTGTGTAATTACTTTGATTCACAGTTTTTTGTTTCCGGTTTGTGTTAACAGATTCCACAATGTTGTCCCGTTTTAATTATTAAAGGAGCAATGCTTTTGGTTTGCTAATTTTTTGTATAATTATCTCCTGTAGGCATTTTCTTCTTTTCACCCAAGGGACATGTAGACAAGGCTAGAAGAGCCTATCTGAGAAGTGTACTGAAGTTAGGGTGTGTTGTAAAACAAAATGCTTTCCATGCTTTCATATTTCTAATTCAATCCTAAATTGAAGTCTTATTTTTTTATTTGGCATGGCTCAACTAGGTTATGGAAACTCCTGAATTATCCAAAAGTCTTGCGTTTCATTGAAGTTGCATAAAATCCATTCTTGTGTATTTATGAAGTATATTTGCAACATTGCTTTTGATAGATGTCGTACATGTTTCTCTTCAGGTATTGAATTTTCCTGGAGGAATGGTTAAGTTCACCTCAGATTTGAAATTCATGTCTGAATTTCAAGAGGAGCGAATTCACTGCTATCGGGTTCTTGATGACTGTGGTCAGCCAGTCAGCGATGAATTTGTACAGGTATTGCACCAAAATTAATATAGTATCAATCTTACAAGCAATTTGCATAGTTTTGTAATTTGGTTCAACAGGTAAATAACTTTTTTTTTTCCTTGAAATGTGTTCAGATTGATGAAGAAACGGCAATGAAAATGTATAAATATATGGTTACGCTTCAAACTATGGACACTATCTTCTATGAAGCACAAAGACAGGGAAGAATATCATTTTATGTCACTGCAATTGGAGAAGAGGCCATCAACATTGCATCTGCAGCTGCACTTCATATGGATGATCTTGTGTTTCCTCAGGTTAATTAGCATTCCTAAAATGAGGCACTACATACTACCCATTTGAAGTTTTTTATTGAACCATAAAAGTTTTGACTCCACAATGCAGAAAACTAATTGCCTCGTAAATGACTTATCTCTTGGAGCAAAATATCTGTAATATATCCTTGATTATCAACATATATAGATCTTAAAAAAAAAATTTGTGGTTTATGAGTGAAAAGTTTTTTGGTTATGATCTTACTGGCATAGCTTCCAATAAACATGTTTGGCTAAGACTAAAAACGAAAAAAGTAAAAGTACTTGAAAAAAGTTACTTAAACAATAAATTTTTTAGGATTACCCAAACATACTCATAATTCATCTTTTTTAAGTGCTTTGGCAAGGTCAATCCACCACCCTTAAGTCTTTACCTAATGTTAATCACTGTCCACTGCATAGTACTTATGGGCATATCTGCTTATATAATTGTTCATCTTCCCTAAATGTGATTGTTTTTACTTAAAATATATATAAATAGGGACGGTTCCTCCTATCAAGGAATTTGACTAATAATCTTAACCCTTAAAAAATTGACTAATAATTAAAGCTAATTTAACAATCTGGATCTATTAAAACCCTTAAAAATCACTATAACCACAAGACATGGCCAAACGATATACCCCGGTTCATGAGCAGATGCATTTATACACGATGATAAGATCTTGCTGGTATTAGATTCGTGTGGCTCCACTCATGCTGTCTGTGTATATGCTTTGGCGTATAGCTGGATTTCCAATTAACCTTCTAAATAGGTGATGGAGTGTGAAAATGCATTTGTATATATGTAGTTTCTTTTGCATATGTAAGAAGTAAATGAACCTTCATCTTTGTGAAACCATAATGAATTTAACATAAGAAATTATGAATGTCCGATTCCTATGAGTAAGAATCAATGAATCTCGTTGAAGATTCAGTTCATAGGACTAAAGGAGTTTATCCTTCTGAAAATTAAAACCTTCATTTAAAAATTTTATTGTTGAAAAACCCAGACGCTTTTTTGAAGTAATTCTCTCTCATGCCCTTCAAACATTAGTTCTTTTATGCTGATGAGCAATAATCACAGAACCATTTTGAGCAGGAACCAACATTCACATGCATAAACATACAGAGGACGGAGAAATCATAGAAACATTTTAAGAAGGAATGTTTACAAGACATTGCTCTTTCACATGATATATCCTTCTCAACCTACCTTCAAAATCAGCATCTCCTTGTATTGTACTTCTATTCTACTATTGATGTATAAATTAAATTACACTTGCAGTATAGGGAAGCTGGAGTTCTACTTTGGAGGGGATTTACTCTACAAGAATTTGCAAATCAGTGTTTTGGAAATAAATATGATAATGGGAAAGGAAGACAGATGCCAATCCATTATGGGTCGAACAAACACAATTATTTCACTGTTGCATCAACAGTTGCGTAAGAAACAAAACTTCATCAAGCAAGATAAACAACTATATAAATTTGTCAAATACTAAATCATGATTCATGGTGGTAATTGTGTTTCAGTACTCAAGTTCCTCATGCTGTTGGCGCTGCTTATTCTCTGAAGATGGATAGACGAGATGCATGCACCATTACATATTTCGGAGATGGAGGCAGTAGTACGGTATGGAGACCATATATTCCTGCCTTCTCATTTTCATCAATCAATCTAATATAAGTTACTCCACTATGTTATCCATTAGTATTAACAGTTTTTGTGTAATATATTCTCATATTGCTATAATTTTATCTTTTCTGTGGTTCTATTTGAATTCGGTTAATTTTGTTACTTTTACTTTGTTCCTGAAGATGTTGGTTTTTGTTGCCTTTTCCAGGGTTCAAATTGTTCACGCAACTACACTTATTTTCACGAAGTTCATTCTTAATATCTTATTATGGGAATGGAATATATGAGAGAACTATTGAGTTTTTGGTGTGGCGGAAATGCTTCATATCTGGCTTCTTTATGTTCACATGGACTCAATTTATTAACATCTTCTGTGTAATTTTCTGGTACATGAATATTATTAGGGAGATTTCCATGCTGCTTTAAATTTTGCGGCAGTTATGGAGGCACCAGTCATATTTTTCTGCCGAAACAATGGATGGGCCATCAGCACCCCAGTAATGGATCAGTTTCGAAGTATATTCCCTTCTTATTTGCCTATTTACACAATTGCACATTTGCTCGTTTGTCCTTTTAACCGAGGTCTTCAATTTATGGACAGGCGACGGTATTGTTGTTAGAGGTCAGGCTTATGGAGTTCGTAGCATCCGAGTTGATGGTAATGATGCCCTTGCTGTGTACAATGCTGTTCGGGTGGCTCGTAAAATGGCCATTAGTGAATGCAGACCTATTTTGATTGAGGTGACACCATAATACAGATCATTAGATACTTCGTCTTAAGAGTAGGAACTTCCAATTTTATAACGGACTAATTGTGGCACCGTTGAGGGTACTTTGTGGGTCCTTGGAATGGGGAATTGATCTTTATCCAAACATCTGTAATCAATTTCATTTATTGAGTGGTCACTGTTAGAGCTAATTGTTTCTTCAACAGGCCATCACATACAGAGCTGGACACCATTCCACATCTGACGACTCTTCCAAGTATCGTCCGGTGGAAGAGATCGAATGGTGGAGAGTGGCACGAGATCCTGTAACAAGATTTAGGAAATGGATTGAAAGGGAAGGTTGGTGGAGTGCTCCTGCCGAATCAGAAATCCGTAATGATATTAGGAAGCAGGTAATTTGTTTGCATTAATCAAATCGAAGGAACGTTACTTCTTGTTTTAAATTTAACATCTTATCAAGCTTAACAGTTGTATATGCTTCGTATGATTTATAAAATCAACTCTACTGTAGTTATGCTTCAGAGAGAGATTATTTCACACGCTTTATGTATAAGAATTTGCTTGGAAAAGATGAGAAAAGCTTTGCATTATATCTAGGATCTACATATGTTAGCATTTTGCACTCAGATGGGATCTTGATATGTGATCATTTTCTGCTAATTATGTTAGAATGTCTGGAACCTAATCATTACCCTACATTTAGGAGGCTGTTTTTTGTGTGCACGATAGAGGTGAAGAAAACTAGTATGTTTCTTCTCTAGAGTTAAAATGAAGTAAGGAGTGTAGCTATCAAGTGAGGGTGAACCATGCTTTGCTTTTTGTTGACCTCTAAAGTGAGATTAACAAATTTCTCTTACCTAACTAGGTTTCCCTCGTAAATTCATTCAATTCTAGGTTCAAAGAAGAGCTAGGAAAGAAATGACTATTTGAGAGGAGAGGGTTCAATTTTTCAGTCTTCTTTGCTCCCAACTATATTTATTTGTAGATTTCTAATGAGGTCATGAAGTAATTGAGTCCTTTTTGTTAGTGACACGTGATAGCAATTGATTGATGAGTTTTAACTGAACCCGTTACCTTTTCACGTTTTATTCGCCATGCTACATTCTTATTTACGTGAGCTTCAATTATGATTTTTGCTAATGTGGAATAGCTGGTTTAGCTGGAGGAATTAGGGGTCTGTTTCGGTAGTGATTATAAGAATTGATTTTTTGACCATTAGGGGGAAAAGTGGGGGCCACTTGTGAGTGAAGAAGTAAAAAATGACGATTGAAATAGTGAAATAATTTCAAAAAATCAAATTTTTTGGGTGAAAAAGCACTACCAAACGGGGGCTAAATAAGAATAAATTTACTTAGCAATTTTACCTTCGTGCACGCCTCATATACTCATTGTTTATGTTTGGGATTGGATATGACACTTCGCATTATAGTGACCTTGGTCTGTGTTCACATATGATGTGATGAGCTCAAGAGAGTATCACAGTAAAAGTCGATACTCTCGCCATTGATCATTGTAAATTTTAGTCATAACGCTCGTTTTGTGATCAGTGATCAAAATTGATTGTAGGGTGCTCGCCATTTCGGTTTATCTACATGGCCTTGCGTATCATTCTATTGACTGTGATTCGCTCATTTCTAAAATTCGTATATCACTTGACTTGCTCTCTATTCTTAACTGATTCTGCTCCTGCCACAGGTTTTACATGTAATTCAAAATGCAGAGAAAGTAGAGAAACCAAATGTAGGAGAAATTTTCACAGATGTGTATGATGTCCCACCTTCAAACCTTATTGACCAAGAGAAATCACTAAGAGAAACAATTGAAAGACATCCACAAGACTATCCTCCTGATTTTCCCACCTCGTAGAAAAGCAAAGAAAGAACCTCGTACGAGCCTATGCTCGTCTACACGGGTCTTTGATGGATATGCAGGATGGGATGCTCTGCTCACGGGCCATTTTCGAGTCCCTTTTTAATCACTTTAAATTAGTCTCTTGATGTATCATCTCTCTACTTCTGGTGAATAATCCTCATACATTCTTAAATGTGGAAATAATGCCATAAACTGTCGTTTGTTTTCAAATTTTAATTGTGATGCTTATTCTTTTAAATATTCCTTAATATACCGACCTAGCTCGACGGTCTCAGTGCAAGATGCCATCAGATGATTCTTAGGTTAGGATTCCCTTTGTTTTCCTAAATATCTCTGAAGAATGCTAAGTAAAAACAATACGCTTCGACTTTACACAACTCAAGAAGTAATTCTCTTTTGCCGGAAAAAGAAACTAATTATTGGTAAAAGACCGGTATGAGTTAAGAATGAGATGCTCTCAATTACAAAAGTAATAGAAATATCTAGCAAACAACTGATCTCATTCCCTAGTGCATATCATAGACAACATAAAATCAACCATATATTAAATCAAGATTAAAATCAACCATATGTTAAATCAGGATTGCAAGGATGAAGCTCTCTCTTTTAGAGACTCTACTACAGCTTTCGACAGAGCGGGCATTAACTTCTGATTTGTGACAATGATACCTGTGTCCAGATCAAGATACCGTCCTCTCGAGAAGTTTAGAGGATTCCCAGCAGCATCTGTGACGATACCTCCAGCTTCTACAAAACAAGTCAAAACAGAATCTTCAATACCAATGATAAAAATAGTGCAATTTTAGCCATCAGATTTATTAATATACACGCACTTTGGCCAACTGAATTGACAGAAATTTTGATGTGCGATAAAAACGATATGGCATGGAAAATCTGTTACTGTATTAGTTTTACCATCCATCCGGCGGGCAAAAATCACATATTTTCGGGCACTTGGTGCTTAGGAAATGCACTTCTATAAAGAAACACGAAAACGGGAAAAAAAAATGAAGAAAATAAAGCAAGACGTGGCCAACGAGACATGTTTTTGTCTAGTTAGATGATAGATATAATGCACAAACAGATTCATCATGCCATGCAATCTTTTCCAGTAATTTGACAGATAGAGAGAGACAGGGTGCCTAATGTAAAATAAAATGAAAGCTCGACCTCTAACTTGTAAAAAACAGTTCAGTAACTATAGTGAAACAATGCTATAAGTTGAGTTACTAACAGTGTTTTTTACCCCATTCAATAACCAAGTCAATCTATATACAAGAGAAGCAATTTATCAACCTGCGACAACCATGTATCCAGCTGCATGATCCCATATCTTTTCTCGGTAACCTTCACGAGGGAAACGAAGATATATTTCACCATCTCCTCTGGACAAAGCACCATACTTTGCTTGGCTATCCATCCTAACAGGCGGTGTTTTGACACCCATTTTCTGATAGGTAATGAATTATTAGAAATTTGATACCAAGACATTCACACGGAGACGGGGAGTGGGAGAAGAAGAGAGAAAATAGAGAAAGTAGTACTTTTACTATCAAACTAGATAAATCGTGTGATGAATGTGCTGCCTCAAAAGATTCAAAGAACAATGCTCCTTCAGGGTTTGTAGTTGCACTAACGTGTACCTGAAAGACAATAGATGATCAGTTTCAACTTTTTAAAGTCAGATCAAAGTATATTAGCATGTTCGACAAAGCTGAAAAAGTCCACTTACAAGAAAATAAGGACATTTTTTAAGTGTGTGTACACACACACACACTTATTTTGACACTATTGTAGGGTTACTTTCAAATAATTAAGATTTTCTACTTTAAAGTTAAAAAGAAAGTAAGGTATTCAAACATTTTTGGTAACTTTTGCTCATACTTAAATCTTAGCCAAACATATAATGTAATTATGCAAGAAAATAGCAACCTTCCTTGGCGGTGAGCCATCTATAGACTGCATAAAGGTTCCAGCACCAAGTTGAGCAAAATAAAGACAGCCAACTTTGTCTTGAGAATTGTGCCGATCATAGCTGGTAACAGAAGTTAAAGGAAGATTTGGACAAGCTAACACCCCCAATACAACTTTCCCTTCATCTAGCAATGCCAATGCTATAGCATATTGGTCTCCTCTCATAAAACTGCATTTGCAGGCATAAAACTGTTGTATGAATAATGGGCACATAAGATTTATACACTCGATAAAATGAGTATTCTCAAAGACAAAGTTTAGAAAGAGAGAGAAGAATAGAAGGTCTGAATTTCTCAAATAGTCTGTCATTATTCATTTTCATAATTACAAAATAAGCCGGGGCAAGTCTCGTACATGTCCAACGCCAGTCAAGAATATGATCCATTATGTTCTAACTGGGAATCTAGAGAATATAAAATAAGACAATTCATTGACAGCCTGGAACAATTGTCCCAGCATATTGCAGAACAGCTGCATAACCTTCACGTGTTTGTGATGTACATTGAGAATTTTAGCTGAGCTAATATTTTAAGAGAGAACTGTTTAAAAACTGAGCATAATCTGAAAAACTTTGGTTAAATTAGGTAGAATTGCCCTTTCTTTTTAAGTTTAGCTATTTATCTATGAATATTAGACAAAGGAGGACGATATCAAATTTTCTAAATGACTTTTAATTCAGTCACCATTTCATAAACATTCTGCTCACAAAAATCCGGGTCTGGGCAAATTCTGAATAGGAAAGTATACGTTTACCATATGTCACGAAAGTTTTACCAATTTTATGGAGTTCATATTCCTTAAGAACTCCAAGATGTCCACCCATATGCATTATTATCTTCTCGTCCCATTTGGAGTAGCCAGATGTCGTAAACAACTCATTCCAAGGACAGGCACAATGATCTAAGTATATTTAATCCAATATTAGGACAACAACTCACTTTGGATGATATATTCAACATGAAGTGAACGTATTTGAAAGAGAGAAAAATAATAAGCAATTCAGTGAGGAGACCACTAATTATTCACAAGGCAAGAGAAAAGATCCAGCATTGCACGTCCAAGGAAAAATTACTAATTATGAAGATTTCTTGCACACTCACCCTTTGGTACCATCAATAGGATCCAAAACCCAATGCTGACCATGAGGACCACCTTCAGATTTTCCACGGTCAATGGCATCGAGCACATCTTCCTCAGACAAGGGTGATATGTCATTCATTCCATTACTGGCAAGAGTATCATTTACAAGTTCCTTTATGCGCACTAGTGTTCCTCGGGTTTCTTCTCTGCGAAGGTCTTCTGAGTCCTAGAAATACTCAAACTTTTTATCTCCCATTCAACAAGAAATGATAAATAACTTTTACAGATTGGATGGGTAGCAATATGAAAATAAAATTACATATAGGAAAAGAAAATGAGGATAGTTAGATTTTGCATGACCAGTATAAAATCAAACTACAAGTTCAGATGCTACCTCCTCAGCCACTAATGAAAATGGCATTGATGGAAACTCTTTCTCCAATATAAAGCTAACCAAAGCCTGTGAACCTAAGAATTAGATGATCGCTTAGAATAAGAACATGTATTGTATATGCATGTGATGCAATATCAGGAGGACTAGCGGGTAAAGGTTTTATCTTTGATTTTCTCCTAAGAGATAAGACTCAAAATGTATTAACATGACTTTTTTCCACTTTCACAAGATGAATAAAACTGACAGTGCAACAGCATACCATAATCAGCCACTGTGACAGGACTTTTATCGGACTTTGATTGGATATCTGATTGCAACAAAGCCTTCTGCACCTTCTGTGAAAAGAAGAAGCACCTGATTTTAATTTTAGTTCATTCTGAAGAAATAAATAAACGCAATTCTTGTTGAACCACGTCATCTAAAAGTTTTTGGACAAATTTATTTATTTAAATTGTCCTCAAAGTGCAACTCACATGTAGGTCAGATAATTAGTTTATTAAATGGCTGACACGTGCTAAATTAAGAATTTTGCATAATCTTGTTCCATGTTGACATATTGTGAAATCGGATATGTAATTATGGGAATAATTTTTGAAGACTCAAGTGATGGATATGCAAGCAGTGTCTAAAAGCTTAAGCTTTTATTATTTAAATTATCTAATAATGCAAGAATCTTAAATAATCAATTGCTGACTCAATCAAGTAATAAGTACCAAACTGAACTAAAAAATATTGATATATAATCAAGAGTTAATTTTTGTATACCTCATATCATAGTTCAACAAAATCCATTATTTCTTTTTTCTTGGTTAATGCTTGAACACGTAAAAGTAGCAATGTTCTCACAAGGTCATTTCCAAAATTCACCACAGAAGCAAATTTTCACCTGGGAATAGCTCAAACTCACAAAACCTACTAAAATGTACAACAAACACAACTGGCCAAGAAATGCACGAAAGAATAAACAGAGAAAATAGAATCAAATTCAGTAATTAACAGAATAATAACAATAACCTGGCAAAGGCGGGCAGCAAGAAAGGCAGCTTTCTTGGCAGCGGCTAGTTGCTTATCATAAGACATTGAAGCAGCGGCTGCTCTTCTTACTTGTTGCACTGAACTAGCGAGGGATACAGAAAAGTATAGGGGGTTTGATTTTAGCCTGGGATAAGAGCAATATATAGAGAAGACTCCTCTTGTTAATGGAGCCCGCACAGTTGAAGCACCCATTTCCTCTCGTTTCTCTGCAAATTCCAGAGTGCGTGTGCGTGGGGAGAGGGGACTTATTTTTCCATTTTCTCATAAGAGCACGTTTGGCTATTCTTTTTTTATTATTATTAAATATTTTTTTACTCATCATTAGATTGGCTAACCCTCAGCTAAAAATTTGACTAAAATGTAAAATCTCAGTCAATATTAATTTTAATATCACATTTTATGATATTTATTAATTTTCAATTACACATTCCATAAATTTTATCAAAATATATTAAAAATCTAATTTTTATCTAAGGTTTTCCTCGAGAAAGTATTCTTGTAGGGCGAATGACTAAAAATAGGCTAAGCTTAAAGATTAGCAAAACTTTCTTAAAACTAACTTTATTATTTCAATTTTATATGCGCGTTTCATTATTATTATTATTTCAATTTGAATTGATAAGAAATAGTTGTTATATTGACACCACAAATTTTATTTCTTACACTACTTTTTAATAGTAATATAATTTTTCAATCATTGTTTATTGTACTTATAACTATACATTTTTAGTCGCATCATTATCTCCAATGTGTTCATTAGTTAGAACATGATGATTGTTGTCGAAATATTCTGTTAACGTTAACGTAGTTCAAGATGAAGTGCAAATATTTTGTTGCATTTTTTTTATTTTTTATGCTCATTTCAAAATATGAGAGACAAACAAATCTTATAACTTTATTAAAATAGATATTTTACATGAAAATTGTTAGGAACTAGTTTGAAAATTAATAAAAGATTGAGAAAGAATGCAGCAATTTTTTATTTTTATTTTTTTCAAAGACATAAGTATAATAACGAGTAAAGAATGTGATGCAACTTTCAAATATATGTGCATGAATTTTTTATTTTTTGTATCTTTGTCGTCATCTTTTTATTTAGCCCCTATTATATTAAAATTCATTTTTTTCCCTCCTTTTATCAATTACGCATTTTCTAATAAAATAATATTACACATAAATTTATAAACTTTTCTTTCATTTTTAACCTCATTTTTCAAAAAATTACTATTCCTTTCATTATATTGGAAATAATGGAGCCCAAACAGGGGCTTATTTTCTTATTCAATCGAAAATAAATACGGCTATAGCTTCCTTTATAAGGATAAAAATAATTAGAAAAAAAAATAAAGGATAGAACCGTCCAATGTGAATACGTTGTGCAGTAACAATGAAAGGTTTACAATTACTAATATTGAAAGTTTACAAAATAATCAAAGCTTTTAACAAAATAAGTCAACACTCCCATGAGAGAAAACGTTGAAAATATTTTATTTAAATATATTCCCATCCTAATAATGTGATAATGACATATTGACTAGGTACAATAAGAAAAAGATCCCATGATCTTTTCATTCAGTGATGGGTATTTGTTGAAGCAACAACTATCCTAAAATATATGATCATGAATATTTTTGTATAGAACGTTCCATCTTGAAAATATTTGGATCGAAATATGACTTTCAAATCAAGATTCGAACTAGTCGGTATTGTCGAAGGGAGAATGTCATACACATATTAGAAGAGACTCTTAGCCCCAGTTTGATTTAGTTAAAAATCAGGTTTTTAATAGATTTTGATAAAAGTTGATATGTGTAATTGAAAAGTTAATAAAAATTGTGGATCTTATTAGTCTACATTTGGTCATTTTTTGAAATGAAAATGAGTGAAATAGTGTTCTTTTGAAAAATGAATGAAGGAAAATTTTTCGATTTAAGTGTAATTTTTTTTTTTTTTTTAATTCTACCTATATTTTTCATAGTTGGTTCCAAGTTTTGGTGACGAGGAGAGTAGACTAGGTGACAACCAACGTAAAGTTTGTCTAATCTTATTTCATTATTTTATTCTGCTATATCAACGAGCGTGAATTCCTATATCAACAAATGGAGCAGAATGAGAAAAAATGGATTCACGTGACCAAGTCTTAATTGCTATCATAAATTTTTTTTTTTTTTTTTTTATAAAAAATCAATACATTTGACTATGACATTTGGTTAGGTAGATCAAATAGTACAAATAATATTAAAGAAAAATAAAATATTAAACATAATACTATTCGATAATCAAATTGGCATACCAAATCTGCCGTCTAAAACATTCTATCTTTGAAAAGACTGGAGTTGAAGAAACGTAGACCCACTACATGTGGTAGGTTGCCAACATTTGTCATTTCTAATTAATTCAAACCATAGTTTGGTGCATTCAAAATCCATCATAAACATACCACTTGGTGGGATCCATTTTTGACTGAATTCCTAGTATTTGTGAGTAGGGGCCTCTCCAATTATTCCATATGAGTTTTGCTATACAAACAGGGTGGGTAACAAGGGTTAAAAATAGGAAGATACGTGTCAAATTTTCATTGGATAATTTGGAAAAAAAAAAAAAGAGAAAAAAAAAGGTAGAGATCAACACCTATCACCGTGTCACCTAACCTATTGCAAGGAGCACTACTCATCCTATATTACTAGGTTCAATTTTCTAGCTCTATAATCCCCAATTTTAAGTCAAAAAATACTTCTTGCCCAGGCGAAGGAGCCAGGGATCTCTCCGTCTTCCTAAACCTCCAATCTTGCATCCAGGATGGAGAAACAATAGAAAACGATGGGTCTCTCCATCCAGGATGGAAAAATTCTCCATTTTTTAATGGAGCTAATGTCTCCGTTCTGCACGGAGACTAAGTTTCGTACAGACTCCAACATTGGTAATATCTAAACATTTTGGTTTTTATAATTAATCAGGTAATCCTACTAATCTTAACACTATAAATGAGTAAACAATGAACAAAATGAACTTTAACGCAAGAAACAAATCATAAGTAAATAAATTTTTCACTTACAAGGAGCACAGATGAACCACGTCTAATGTACTGTAACTTGAATATAAATGAACCACGTCTAATGTAGTGCAACTTGAATATAAATGAACCAGAAAGGACCAAATTTTTCAAAATCATTATAACTATAAAATAACTAATCTTGGTAATATCTGACCGTTTTGGTTTTTAAAGTTACCCAGGCAATCCTACTTATCATTAACAGTAGGAATGAGTAAATAATGAAACAAAATAAACTCCCAACACGAGAAACAAATCACAAGTAAAGAAACTTATCACTTACAAGGAGCACAGATGAACCCTGTCCAATGTACTCCAACTCGAATTTGAGATTTCAATTTTATGAATTTTTGGAAAGAAGAAGAAAGGAAGAGAAAGAAGACGAATAAGAAGAGTAATAGAGGAATGGTAGATTGAGTGAAAAAATGGAGAAATCTGACTTCCCATACTTCCTTCCGATGATCCAACATAATATTAAAAAAAAAAGTACAGGACGATACAAATTTTCAACACGTGTCCTGCCAATGCTTTCACTTTTTTATATATGTAGGAAAAGAGTTGAGAGGATCATTTCCCTTTACTTAGGTGCCTTGTAAGTCTAGGCTTGTTCACAGATCTATAGTAACTCTATGCAAAGGCAAGAAGTATGAGCGGTCGAGCATTGGAAAATGACTACTTACTGGTAACCTAATATGTCCTGTCTCAATGCAGAAGCTCCGTGATCGTTCCATTGTTCTAAATCACACTCTTTGCCATTTGATCAAAAAGTGGCTTAAATCGGGTAACAAGTTGAGTCAGATATGTTGAAACTTTAAACTTTATAAAACTAGAAACTTTAAAACTTGAAAAATCTATATTCCTCTATTGTCAAGATCCTCCATGTCAAATCACTAAGAAAATTAATAATACGGAATATAGTCAATATACCTTAATTCTTTGGGAATGATTCATTTTTACTAGATCATGAATCTTGAAATTTGAACTCCAATTTTTCATCTTTGGCTTATTCATTTTTTATCTTGAATTTTGCTTACTTTGATTCTTTAGTTCTTGTTCTTGGTTTTACTTCTTGACCCATAGTCTTGATTCTTGATTGTGGTTTTTGGATTTTCCTCTTCAATAGACTTTCTTTTATATTATTGTGTTGATGGGATGACATAAAAAATGAGAAGTTGCAGATAAATTGGCGACCATAACTCTACATATATCCATAAGTATTTCGTTCATCATGAAATACAATTCTAAAAGAATCTAATTTCTATACATATATATGGCCCACACTTTATTTAGATGCCATAAGCCCAACAATTTAATTATTTATATGATCACTTTAATTAGACTTAACTTTAAAATAGCCTTATACGCAATTAATTCCAGATGTAAGCCCACGTGACAAATTAAAATTTTCACAACATGAACACCTCAAGATGATTGATAGGCATTGTTCTACAGCTGCACTCAAGAACATCATCGAGTACAATGAATCCATGTTTGATCATAAGCTTCAAATACTAGAAAAAGTCCATGCTTTATTCGAAGAACTACCGTTGCATAATTCACATCGATTCAATTAGACTTCTTCAAGTTACTTCCGGAAATAGTCCTCAGAAATGCAGAGATTTCCGAGAGAAGTTGAGGGTTGTGGAAAAAGCACGTCTTTGTGCTATAAAGAGGAAGCCAAATTAGCCCAATTCATATTCTTCTTGAAAATGTCAGTATCAATGTCAAGAAATGTTTATGCCATATGGTAGAGGCAGTTCCATCAGATTTAGAGACTCAACAACTTTGTTCTACACCAGGAAAATCAGATAAACTTCTGCTAGAAACAGTTCATCTTCTACATAACAACTAAAATGCTGTTGAAATGGAATAAAAGCCTATCAACATTAGCCTTATCAGTTTCGAGTCGAGAGAATATGGTTAGACAAAGTGCAATTCATTGATTCAAGGGATCATAGCATACATTTTGCAACGCCAAGAAGAAAGAAAACAACTCGGCGCCAACGGCAAATGTAAGCAAATCTGAAATTGCTTTTATCAGTAGAAAGTGAAAAACAGGCAATAATTAATCACCATTCAAGCTTTGATGCAATTGTCAAAATGGTTGGCAGAGTTTCATCACACCATGAAGGGAGTGAAAGTGCAGTAAATTCAACACTCGTTGTTTATTTTGAATCAAAATGTGCTGGGGAAGAAGCCATTTGCGCTGGAGATTTAACTCAGTTTTTATTGCTGCTTCATAGCCAGTGCAGTGGGAGGACTAAAAATAAAGGCACGAATGTTGCCCAAACTACCTGGATCCATGTGGACTGAAAATCCAAAGGTTTCATTTTAGTTCACAAATACGATTGGACTGTAAAAGACATATGGTAGAATAGTAAGAGATCGTTAATCCTTTCCAGAATATAAGGTCCTCCAAATGCATGGTCCTTTCTTAAACGAACCATATCAAATAATCAAAAGTTTATCTATTTTTTCTTAGTGAATTCAAATCAAGTTCTTCATATGTATATATAAATTCTTGCTTCTTATATAAATGAACGAGTTATTTTGGTTAGGAATGCAAACTACCGATTTTCATTCTTCTTTCCAATGTACCCAAATATTAAAAATCATTGCTTTTACCCATCAAAAATACATAACTGTAGATAAATAAATGGTGTGTTCAATATGCTAAACTCAATAAAGCAGGACAATAATGTTAGTTTCACTAGGATTATAATCCCAATCTAGGTGGCGCTAATGTGACAATAAATGATAACTGTCCATATTTCATTTTGCCTATCACATAGTGCCGCATAAACTGCCTTTCTCCCTCAATTTTATTCAATTTTGTCCAACCTAATGTCTCGAACATATCCAAGAAATTTAAAATTGTAAAGTCTGAACCATCGACATGAGGTTCATTGGAAAATTCTTTCAATTTCATCCATTCCATTTCAATTATATAATCAAACAGTGTAGATAATCATTCGAATCAAGATATTCCATTACTAATTTGCAAACTAATAAAAACTACAATGTCTACGAGGATAGCTCCAAAGGCATAACTCGCCAATTAAGACAAAGAGTCCATTACAACGGAAGGAATGAGATAACTGGTGCACAACAAAAGCAGATGGGTCAACTCGATCCAAAGTCCAACTATGAGCTTTTTAAGTTAGAAGGCTTAAATATACACCATGGAAGCTGGAATTACTACATGGATATAACAAAACGAAGCAACTAGTTTAATTATCAAGCTTCAAATTCTCCTAGTTGTACATCCTTAGACTTCAAAGGAACGTAGTCTCCAAGATAACCTCCAAGATGATCTGCTAATGAGGGCTTATCGATTCTCTCACGATGATATGATTTACAGATAAAATATATAATTGTCTGAATCACAAGCCCAAAAAGAAAAAGTACACAAATAAGCACAACAAAAAGTATTCCATACAAAATTCTGGAGGCAACCCCACCTCCAAATCCAAGAACCACATAATACTCAAATCCCAGCTGAATTCCAAAGAAAATTAGGCTAAGTACAAGAAAAGTTGCAGCAGATATGCCTGTTTTTCCCCTGATCAAACCTTGGCTCTTGGCCACTGCATTTAGCCCATAAAATTCTTCCAATACTGAAACCACACTTGCTAAATGCCAAATTATACTGATGTAAACAAACCCACTTAGGTAAATCACAGCAAGAGAAATTAAAATAATTGGACCCACAAATTGTACTGTTCCAAAAAGAAGAGCCCACGAAATGAATATCAATATAGATACAATATTGTATGCAAAAACTATGAGAGAATTCCATATGAATGTCACCATAAGCCTTTTCCAAACCTTTGGGACTACCTTAATCACTTTTTTAAGATTAATTTCATTTGAAGTGTATATGGACGCAATTGTATAAACAACTGCAGAGGTTGAAAGAAGGCCAAGAATTAGAAAGAAAATGAAATACCCAATTTTGAAAAGAAAAAAAGCAGTCAATTCAGAGGATAAAATATCTGAAATTTTATCATATGAACGGGTGCCCTTTGGGATTCTATGAAGAATATATTCATGGAACATGATGTCTGAAAAGAGAATATGTGAGATTTGAATATGGCCCAAGTAGATTAAGGAAAGAGGGAGGATCATGGCTATTGTTATTTGAGTGAAAATCTTGATCCATGATGAAATTATAACGAATGATTCTTTGAAGATGTCGAAGAACCCAAGAAACTGAAATTCCCCCTCTTCTCTGTCCATCATTTTGCCCCTAAACGTTGAAGAACAAATGGATTATAATTAATTTGGTAATGATGGTTGAAGTGAGCAATGAATACATATAGAAGATGAAGGGCAGATACATCTTATGGGAGGAAGACTTTGACTTGTTGAATCTTGCCATTTGGTGTTGACTCTTGAGTCAAGTAGGAATACAGTGCGCTAGATATAAACCCACTTAAACATGCTTATACGATTTTGCATTTAAATTATATTTCAATATCGATTTTTTTCATAGTATTTATTCTCCTATTTTTTGAAAATAAATTTTCGAAAACAAAGTTACACTTATAACATAAAATTCAAAAGTTTTTTTTTTCTTTTTTTAATTTTTTCAGTGTTTTGAGTTAATTAACTCTCAAAATACGAGAAATAAAAATTTTAATTTTCTACAAAAAAAAAAGTTCCAAAAACATAAAGTCTAAAATTCTAGAAAAAAAATAATTTTAAAATTTTAAAAAACAAATACTATGAAAAAAAAAAAGTTTTTGAATGAAAACAAAGAAAAATTCTCAGTCCACATTTCTAATTTTTTT